TGCGATCTTTAACAGAGTCTTGTGGCAAACGGCTGGTCGTGCTTTTGAACGGAAAATTTATCAATAGGTAACATCGTTGGCCGCTAAATGTGGCATAACGAATCCGATTAATATTGTTATAAAGCAACAATAAGCAGCATTTTTCTAATTATCCGAACAGAAAACATTAGAGTACTTAACGCATCATTAAATATTAGTCTAACCATAAAAATATATGAACGATTGTTTTCGCCGTTGTGATTTCAAAAATTTATATATAACCGTTACGAATGTTACTGTTATTCCCGGTGTTCGGTCATTGTGGTCTTCGTTTTTATGTCGGAAGATGGAATTTGATGGAACTTAAGAAATTTAAGGTTGAATTTATAGAAGGATTATTAATTGTCTTTGAAATGGAGTCTAGTTTTCTAAAACCACGTCATAAGAACCGTATAGTCATGGCTGGGAAACTTAAATGGAAATGACAGTTCATTAAAAATAGTTTTTCCTCCAAGATGCAGAGGCGCAAAATATTAAAACTGTCAATATTAACAATGCAAATGTCAATATCTGACAATAATAAAATTTGATTTTTAACTGTCACTCAGAGACGCTTTTGTTGTGATTTTACGGTTTGATTTCGTTTTGATTTGTCGAATTATTGTAAAATTAAATTCCTTCAGAATTTTTGCCAGTATTCTGTTTTAGACAATGTTTTTTAAAAATGGTGAAACAATTTGCGTTTTGTAATAACTCTTAATTATTTTTTATCATGGAGTTTAATTGTTGTACACCTGGTTTCCGGAAGGATACAATGGTAAGTAAATTAAACATATCTACTTACAGTTATAGATTTTTTAAATTAGTACTGCTAATAAAAATGCTACTTGCAGAGCAGTTATTTAATTTTTTTTACGGTGCATGTAAGGAATTAAGGACGCGCGTTTTATATTAGCATGATCAGCAGATGATTACATCTAATTTAATTTGTTTTTATTATTTCAGGTCCCAAACGGAAACAAACTGGGAATCTTGCCTACACCAAAATTATATAGCCGTTTCCAATTCACTTCAAAGGGAGGAAAATTATGTAAAACTGCCTGCTATTTGCTGAAAACCGCCAAAGATTAAATTATAACTGTAACAACTTAATATATACTATTTCTAGTCTTTTTAATATATTTTTTAATTAATATCCGACATATAAGAATACTTTGTATGCTTTTAATTCAGTTGATTTATCGTTTATAATATGTTCGACCTAATTAAAAGCACACAAAGTGTTCTTACATGTATGTCTAAATTTATTTTAAATTAACTAAAACAACCCCCCTTCCCCGCACCCCTCTCTTCCATTAGTATTTCTTCCTCCGTCTACCAGAGGCGCCCTTGTATAATAGACATGTATTATAAGTTGCCTATCTATTTAATAGTATAAGTCTTTTATCTATGCGTATAGTAAAGAAGATAAATTCGAATAATCTGTCTTTATAAAAAACACAGTTTTTCTCGTTTGCATACAGGGTGTTCGAACTGTATTCCTTAAACTTCCACAGCATATTCTGCAGATATTTGATATCTGCAGATTTTTGAAGTAACGTCAATATTTTGATGAGAATTTTTTGGGAGTTTTTTTTGACATGATATATTTGATTTTGATGTCAATATGACTCCTACTTGTAGGAGGCGCCACTTACATATTTTTTACCTGCTTCGAAGAGTAATAACTTTTCGTCTGTACCTGTATAAAACGACTGAGTAAAAAATATATATTTACGGCGTTTTTTACGTAAAAAAGGTCTCTTGGTAAGAATCGCTACGAGTTAATGGTTTTCGAGATATTTGGAATCGAAATTATCAATATCTGTCATCATTGACATAAATTAAACATGTTGACTAAATAGTTATTAGACTGAAATCATAAATTTGACATGATTTTGAGTCAAAAATTCAACAGACTGTTTTATCTTATTTAAAAAAAATTCCCAAATTTATCATTTCAGTCAAGTAACTATCAGCATGTTTATTTTTTGTCAATAATGACGTGTATTGACTATTTCCATTCTCAACGTCTTGAGAACGGTTGCTCGTAGCGAGTTTTACCAAGAGACATTTTTTACGTAAAAAATCACGGAAATGTATATTTTTCACTCAGTATTGAAAATTAACATAGTTTGACATAATGTCTTTAGTTGTACACAAACTACAAACGATGCAATTGATTGTAGTAAATTCAATTTTTTTGTAGTACTAATAATTAGCCAGAAAAAATAAACAATTGAGCGCAATGTAACAAAGAGAAAAAATATTGTTTTAACAAATGTCTAAAAACCTTCAAAATCGTTTGTAGTTTTATGTAGTAGCAAAAAAAAATCAATAAAAGATTCTTGGAATTAGTGAATTGTAGTAAAATTTGAAAATTAACATAGTTTGACATAATGTCTTTAGTTGTACACAAACTACAAACGATGCAATTAATTGTAGTAAATTCAATTTTTTTGTAGTACTAATAATTAGCCAGAAAAAGTAAACAATTGAGCGCAATGTAATAAAGAGAAAAAATATAGTTTTAACAAATGTCTAAAAACCTTCAAAATCGTTTGTAGTTTTATGTAGTAGGAAAAAAATTCAATAAAAGATTCTTGGAATTAGTGAATTATAGTAAAATTTGAAAATTAACATAGTTTGAGATAATGTCTTTAGTTGTACACAAACTACAAACGATGCAATTGATTGTAGTAAATTCAATTTTTTTGTAGTACTAATAATTAGCCAGAAAAAGTAAACAATTGAGCGCAATGTAATAAAGAGAAAAAATATAGTTTTAACAAATGTCTAAAAACCTTCAAAATCGTTTGTAGTTTTATGTAGTAGCAAAAAAATTCAATAAAAGATTCTTGGAATTAGTGAATTGTAGTAAAATTTGAAAATTAACATAGTTTGACATAATGTCTTTAGTTGTACACAACTACAAACGATGCAATTGATTGTAGTAAATTCAATTTTTTTGTAGTACTAATAATTAGCCAGAAAAAGTAAACAATTGAGCGCAATGTAATAAAGAGAAAAAATATAGTTTTAACAAATGTCTAAAAACCTTCAAAATCGTTTGTAGTTTTATGTAGTAGCAAAAAAATTCAATAAAAGATTCTTGGAATTAGTGAATTATAGTAAAATTTGAAAATTAACATAGTTTGACATAATGTCTTTAGTTGTACACAAACTACAAACGATGCAATTGATTGTAGTAAATTCAATTTTTTTGTAGTACTAATAATTAGCCAGAAAAAGTAAACAATTGAGCGCAATGTAATAAAGAGAAAAAATATAGTTTTAACAAATGTCTAAAAACCTTCAAAATCGTTTGTAGTTTTATGTAGTAGCAAAAAAATTCAATAAAAGATTCTTGGAATTAGTGAATTGTAGTAAAATTTGAAAATTAACATAGTTTGACATAATGTCTTTAGTTGTACACAAACTACAAACGATGCAATTGATTGTAGTAAATTCAATTTTTTTGTAGTACTAATAATTAGCCAGAAAAAGTAAACAATTGAGCGCAATGTAATAAAGAGAAAAAATATAGTTTTAACAAATGTCTAAAAACCTTCAAAATCGTTTGTAGTTTTATGTAGTAGGAAAAAAATTCAATAAAAGATTCTTGGAATTAGTGAATTATAGTAAAATTTGAAAATTAACATAGTTTGACATAATGTCTTTAGTTGTACACAAACTAGAAACGATGCAATTGATTGTAGTAAATTCAATTTTTTTGTAGTACTAATAATTAGCCAGAAAAAGTAAACAATTGAGCGCAATGTAATAAAGAGAAAAAATATAGTTTTAACAAATGTCTAAAAAACCTTCAAAATCGTTTGTAGTTTTATGTAGTAGCAAAAAAATTCAATAAAAGATTCTTGGAATTAGTGAATTGTAGTAAAATTTGAAAATTAACATAGTTTGACATAATGTCTTTAGTTGTACACAAACTACAAACGATGCAATTGATTGTAGTAAATTCAATTTTTTGTAGTACTAATAATTAGCCAGAAAAAGTAAACAATTGAGCGCAATGTAATAAAGAGAAAAATATAGTTTTAACAAATGTCTAAAAACCTTCAAAATCGTTTGTAGTTTTATGTAGTAGCAAAAAATTCAATAAAAGATTCTTGGAATTAGTGAATTGTAGTAAAATTTGAAAAATTAACATAGTTTGACATAATGTCTTTAGTTGTACACAAACTACAAACGATGCAATTGATTGTAGTAAATTCAATTTTTTGTAGTACTAATAATTAGCCAGAAAAGTAAACAATTGAGCGCAATGTAATAAAGAGAAAAAATATAGTTTTAACAAATGTCTAAAAACCTTCAAAATCGTTTGTAGTTTTATGTAGTAGCAAAACAAATTCAATAAAAGATTCTTGGAATTAGTGAATTATAGTAAAATTTGAAAATTAACATAGTTTGACATAATGTCTTTAGTTGTACACAAACTACAAACGATGCAATTGATTGTAGTAAATTCAATTTTTTTGTAGTACTAATAATTAGCCAGAAAAAGTAAACAATTGAGCGCAATGTAATAAAGAGAAAAAATATAGTTTTAACAAATGTCTAAAAACCTTCAAAATCGTTTGTAGTTTTATGTAGTAGCAAAAAAATTCAATAAAAGATTCTTGGAATTAGTGAATTATAGTAAAATTTGAAAATTAACATAGTTTGACATAATGTCTTTAGTTGTACCCAAACTACAAACGATTTTGAAGGGTTTTAGACATTTGTTAACCCTTAACTACCATGGCCAAAAATAGTTACGTTTATACCATAGCAGGGTTAAATTTGACCCCTTTTTTTTAATTAAAAAAATCTCACTTTTTGGTCCTGTTTTTTATTTCAGTTATTTTCTGCACAAATATTTTTGCACCTTTATGAAAAAAATAAAATAAAAAAAATGTTTATAACTGTATTAATAAAAATAAACTTCAATATGTAATAAAACTAACATAACAGTAAACTTCCTCGTATTAACAGAAAAATAAAAGAAAAAATCAATTTTTTTATACGGAGTGGTCAAGTTTAGGCTTTATGGCTGCTACCTAGAACAAAAAAAAAACATTCAAAACTTGCATCGAAAAAATAACAAAGATGTATTACACCTTACTTTTCAATGCAATTTTCGCACAACACCTTCTTGCGTGAATGATTCTTGCAAATAAATCCTTGACAATTATCGCACTTTGAGCTTTCCTTCTTTTGATTTTTTGAATAAGGGCATACCTTACACCTTCCCCTCTTTTTACCTTGTGGTGGCTCCGGATCATTTGGCGGTACTGGTTCCTGAAGTCCAGAAACTCTAAAAATTACACTACGAAGTTCTCTCGGTAAACATTGCTGTTGAGCTCTGCGTTCTATATGTTCTTCTATGAGTTGTTGACCTAAAGTTGTTAAAAATCTTCTTCTTTCCATTATTTTATTTCGTTGAACACCATTAAAAATTACATTAGCATTTACTCCAGCAATATCCAAAATGCGAAACCATATGACTTGAGGCCATCTCCGAGTTCTTCTGCCAGTTTTATAGCATACACATTTTTTATTCAACGAGTCCACCCCGCCCTTTGTCTCGTTATAAAAATTTACAATTTCTGGCTTTCCATTTACCATTGCATTTGAATGATGCATAGTTGATACTAGTAACACCGCACGATTTTTTTTAGGAACAAAAGATACCAGGCTCTCGCTTCCTGTAAAACCAAATAATGCGGAATTTGCTGGCCTGTCCTTGTGAGGTTGAAATTCATAAGGGACCTCTCTTTTGTTTTTTCTTTAGGGTTCCAACATATGTAATATTATGCTTTCTTAGTTCCCTTATTAGCTCAACGGAAGAGAACCAATTATCAGCAGTTACGTTCCTGTTGGTTCCTGATATCGGTGGAATAAGGGCTAAAACATCTAGGGTAGGGATAGCTAGCTTTCTTGGATTTGTTTTGTGAGTATCCTTTCCAGAATATATAAAACTGTTTAACAGATAATGTGTCTTAGTATCCACTAAACACTGCATTTTTAGACCATATTTGTCTGGCTTACTTTTCAGATACATTCTAAATTTGCATCTCCCTCTAAATGCTACAAGCATTTCATCTATGGTCACATATTCGCCGCAGCTATAATTGGACTGGCAATTAGTTATAAATGTATTAAAAATATTAGATATAGCCGCTAAATTGTCTCCGTTAGCAATACGTTCTAGTCGCGTAACTGGATCATCAAAGCAAAGGCTTGCAAGCAAAAAATAAAATCGGTTTAGTGACATAGTGGCTCGAAATATATCACGGCCCGTACCATTAGTTGCAAATAAAGACCTTAAATCTTCGTTATTTGATTTGAATACACCTGCTAAATATAATAGTCCTAAGAATGCTTTTAATTCGATGACATCCAGATGATTGGTATACTGACATGATAAATTGTGTAAATTATACTTAGATGCCATAAAAGTAATTCTTTCGTTAGTTTTTGCAAGTATTTCTTGTATTATATCATCGCTAATAAGACACTCCCAAGCCTGAAGTGGTTCCTTAGGCATCTTAAGTCGTGCTTCTCCTATAATACCAGGCAAGTGACTTATTATATTATGCTTACGGGTACGAGATGAAGCGGGAGGAATTTTAGCCCACTTGAACCTGTTTTTACCAAAATAGGAATTTCTATTGTCAGAAATACTATTTTCCTCAGTTGAAGATTCACTGCTCCTTTGGGAGCTATCGTTTTGTATATCTTCTTCGCAGTCATCATCCCATTCTTCTTCGGAATCTGTTTGGTGATCACTGTGTTCACTAACTTTATCCGAAAACTCACTATCACTATCTAATCCATTGTCCATAATCTTTTGTGCCTCCGCTTCAAGTTCACTTTGTGTCAGGCCACATTTATTGTTACTACACCCGGCCATTTCAAATAACCCACAGATCAATCTAAACGCAGTTATACCATAAGCGGGTCAAATTTGACCCAACGCCTACGTGTCTCTACAGTGGTTAAAAATAGACTAAAGTAATTTACGGGATCCGATATATCACTGACCGCTCGATGATTACACGGAGGCGCGTAGAGAGACATCTATATTCTACTAGTGGAAATTGTCATCAAAAACGTGTGGGGTCAAATTTGACCCCGCCATGGTACTTAAGGGTTAAAACAATATTTTTTCTCTTTATTACATTGCGCACAATTGTTTACTTTTTCTGGCTAATTATTAGTACTACAAAAAAATTGAATTTACTACAATCAATTGCATCGTTTGTAGTTAATAATAAGCCAAAAATCGAAAACTTTACTTGAAAGCGGGTTCCAACGTGACTGAGCTTTGTAAAAACCGCATATCGATATCTATTACCGTTTCGGGAACATTTCCAAAGCACCTTTTTACGTAGAATTTAATGGTTTAAGTATATATTTTTTTTGAAATTAATAATTTTGAGTTATCAAGTGAAAATCTGATTTTGTATATGGTAATGTAATTATGCTTAAACGATTCAATTCTTCGTATGGATGTTCAATTTGTATTTTATGGGTTTTCTCGTTATCATAATTATGAAATACGAAACATTTTTTATGGGCAAAATGATTTTACTATTTTAATTTTTTTTTGTTTCAGGTAGGTGAATTAGTTTTGACAATGATTAGTTGTAACTACACAATTTAAAAGGTAGGTAAGTCCAATTGTTACGTTTTTTTAACAACAATTTGAAATAGCCTAAAATTAATTATCATAGTACTAAACAGAACTTTAGAGATAGACATAGTTAAATTCATAAATCTCTCAAACTGAATGGCTCTTTTTGTCTACGCCTACCACGACATGCTTTTCATTGGATCGCACGGTATTTAGGGACAATTTATTGCATATATGGTCATTGAGAGGCAATTTATGTCACAGCAGCGAGGGCAATTTAAAGAAAGCGGGTTATCATATTATTTATTAAAAAAACGCATCTTTTGACAAGTATGTGTGTGGGATTTTAATGCACTGGGCGGGGCAGTAGTCACGGTAAAAGCCAGATCATTTATTTAAAACGACTTTTTCGGGCTCTTATTTAAAACGGTAGTTGATATATAAAAAATTGTCTGTAAAATATAAGGAAGAAAGTGTATAAAGAGTTTCTTAAAAAGGTCTGAATATTTTTCTGAAAATTAAAAAAAATATTTTTGTGTAAAATGCTACTGATGGGTTACAATCCAAACAGAAACTAGATTCCTCAGTGTTTTTTTACTTTTTAACAAATTTACCTATCCAACACAGGGTGAAGTTTTTTTTACCTGAAATCACTTATAAAAAAACAACTAAACATACAGTATACCGGGTGCGTCTCAAAAATGGTTCACCCCTATAACTTTTTTATTTTTTTAGTTAAAAAAACGAGATTTGGTATGTTAGTATATGACGTAAATTAGGATTGATTGACGTATTCAGTTTTTTTCGGTCACTTCCGGTTTCACCGGGAATGACTACAACTTTTGATTTTTAAATGGCACCGCCGGTATTTTTTTACTTTATTCGATAGAGAATGTCACTCTGAATAGAACGACATATCATATGTCAACTTTTGACATTTTCGTGTATGGTTTATTTGAAATTATAACTTGCGGTTCGTAACGAAAATTTGACTTGAAATACCAAGTGTGTGGTATCAAATTATTCGTAAAAAAATGCTTTTTCCAAATATCCTAATGAGCCACCCTCATTCCCTTTGAAAAAATTGAGATATGATTATATACTATATATTATACTATATATTATAGCTATTTTTCCAAGGCTCTTTGACTAATTAAGAATTAGTGTTTTTAACATGGCGATGGCACTCTAGATTGAATTTTAAAATACAATTTTTTATTAAGCGAGAATGTCAAAAGTTGACATATGATATGTCATTCTATTCAGAATGTCATTTTCTATCGAATGAAGTAAAAATCCGGGTTCCTAACGTCGACGCATCGGCCCGGAACGAAGAGGTTTGATCTTAATCGTTACCCAGTAGTAATGTGTCGATCCCGCGGATCCCGCACGGTAAATCCCACAACTTTGATCCCGCGGAATCTCAGAGGGATCCCGCATTTGCGGGATTGCATTCCCTACACCCGGTATAGAAGCCTCTCCAAACACAAAATCATAAAAATTTCTCTGCGGAAATGCATCATCCTCTTTTTCCGACTTTAGAATAACTGAAATCAGTTACATGAAAACGTGTTCCTATTTTACATTCTAAACACTTTTCTTGTGTAGGTATGAACTTAACCTAGTAGATACTGTAATTTAGACCTCAATACCTACCGTACCGAGAAAAAAACGAAAATAAACCAAAATGAACCAACAAACCAAACCAAATCAAACTATACCTAACCAAAGCAATCAAAATACGCTGTATAGTTCAGTCATTGGGGATTTTTGCTTGGAAAAAAGTCCGGAAGTTTTGCAACTTTGCAGGTTTATAGGTTTTGGGGTCCCTAACTAAAATCCATAAAATGCACATTCCCAGACTTGCCGCCGGCGCCCAAAATCGGTATTTTGTGAATATCTCGAAAACTATGCGTTTTCGCGAAAATTTGAAGAGAGCAAAATCAAAGAGAGTAAAATTTCATATAAAAAAGGTTATATGAAAATTTTCGCTAATGTCAACCGTTTAGGCACAAAATCCCTGGAAATTTTACAATTTTGCGTAACATATGATATATTATGTATAGTCGATTTTCCGAAATCAAATGTCGATTAGGGTTCACTAAAACTAGTTTTAGTTTAGTTTCTTCAATTTTGTTATAAAATAGTGGCGTATCATTAATTCGCTCATTAATTTATGAATAATTAATTTTAATTATTGAAAATGTGTACTTGTTTCCACACCACCCAAGAGGTCTCCCCGGAGGCCTACTCCACTAGATAAATTAAAAACTTTTACTTATCTGCACAAGCCCGACGGATCTGGCTCATTGATGTCAAAGTCGATCGTGTCTGCTGGCCTGGGCTCATCAGGGTGGTCTCTCAATACGTCCAACTCTTCATCTTCAGCCGCCAGAGGGATATCTACAGGCAAGTCCAACTCCTCTTCATCGGATTCGTCGAGTGACACTTCAGTGACGTTGTCACAGGATTTCCCATTGCAGTATGTTTTCCCATATGTAATCATTGAACATTTTAATCCTGCTTTTCTGCATCCGCAGGCTTTACCATACTTGTTGGTTTTGCATTTACAGGATAAAAATGCCAACAGGGTTTTTGGAGCTGGATTTTTCAACGCCTGTTTTTGTTTTCTTCCAACCCCATTCTTCGGCATCTTTGGTACCACGCAACCAGACCAATGCCGAACCTGGTAGTAAGTTTGCAATGAATGCTGTCCAGCACGACAATTAATTATTCATAAATTAATGAGCGAATTAATTATACGCCACTGTTTCATGACAAAATTGAATAAAATAAAACTAGTTTTAGTGAACACTAATCGACATTTGATTTCGGAAAATCGACTATACATAATATATCATATT